GCATTTTCTTCATTAGTGATTGATGAAAGAGGACTCAATCCATTGTGGATGGGGCCACCGCTAGGCTGGTGGCTCTGGGTTCTATAAGAAAGCAGGCTGAGTAAGCCAGGAGGAGCAAGCCACTAAGCAGCACTCCTCCATGACCTCTGCATCAGCTCCTGCCTCCAGGTCCATGCACTGTTTGAGTTCCTGTCCAGACTGCCATTGATGATAAACTGTGATGTAGAAGCATAAAATGAATAAACCACTCACTCTCCAAGTTTCTTCGGTCATAGTGCTTTATCACAGCAAGGCACCCAGGCACAGCCAGTTTCCTTTTTATGCAATCAGGACCCAAGCCCAGGTGATGGGGTGCCCTCTTTCAGAGTCTTCTACCTCGTGACCTCATCTAAGTGATCCCTCACAGCTGTGCCCCAGAGCATGTTTCCTAGGTGATGAGATCCTGTCAGCTTGACCATCCACCTAACATCACCCTGTGCACCCATTCATAAGGTCACAATGGCGGACCCCATGCAGGATCTGTGTCCACTCTGTTTCCCATTTGACATTGAGAGCTATTATTTTCATAGCTGCCACATAATTTTCAGCAGACACCAATGTGATGGTCTTTTTTTTTGGCGGGGGGGGGGGATTCGAATGAAAGAATTTTTATGCCATCAATATTACTTGATAGCTGACATAAGTTATGTTACTTAAAACGAAAATTTTTATACTCATTTATTTTGTGTGTGCATATTGAGGTCAGAGGACAACTTGAGGGGATTGGTTCTTTTCTTTCACCATGTAGGTCCAGGGTATTGAACTAAGGTCATCAGGCATGGCACATCTTGCTGGCCTGAAATATGTTATTATTAGCAAAAGTTTTATTTTATTTTTTTCTGCAATTTGTGTTGTTCTTTTTTATTTATTTTTTATTTTATTTTTTTATTTTATTAGTTCAAATTAGGAACAAGCTTGCTTCAGATGTCAATCCCCTCTCCCTCTCCCTCCCCTCCCCCCCAACAT